CTTTGTAAGCCACCCAGAGTCCCCTATTGTGGGGGAGACGGGCGGTGGAGAAATCCAATAAATAAATAAATAAAATAAATCTTTTGCTGCTTATTGGCATCCAGAGGTCTCTCTTAGTCCTCTGAGCATGCCAGTAATGCTAAAAAAATAGCAGTGGCATTTCTCATTGTCTGCACTGATCCACAGGTCCCGACAGGTACCCATTCATGCCAACCTGCTCTCTGTTTCTCTCCCTACAGTCCTGTGCTGTATGATTGGATTCCTGCTGGGCTTGGTTTTTGTCCAGTGCTCAGGCAACTATTTTGTGACTATGTTTGATGACTATTCAGCCACTCTGCCCCTGCTTATTGTTGTAGCTGGCGAAGCTTTTGCCATAGCCTGGATCTATGGAGCTGACAGGTAATTCTCCATTTTCCCTCCCATCTCTACACATTTCCAGTTTGTTTGGGTCATTGGACCCTGCAGAAAGAAGAGTCAGGTTTAATCTGCAATCTTATTTTTTTGTGTAAGCTTTGCAGAAGCAGTCTTGCTCCTGTCATCCGACTGTCTGCTACTTTTGCCTGTATATTTCTCTTTCTGCAGGTTCTTGGATGACATAGAAAACATGCTAGGTTGGCGGCCGTGGAGAATCTATAGCTACATGTGGCGTTTCGTGAGCCTGGCAGCAATGTTGTGTCTGCTGCTAGCCAGTTTGGTATACTTAGTTATGAAGCGTCCCACCTACAAGGCCTGGAACAGAGAAAAGGTAAGACGTTTGTCTACTCAGCCATACCCCTCCTTGTGCATTGCAGCTGGGCCGCTTGTCTTTTTTGTTTGAAAACAAAATGAAATCTAGGAACTATTTAAAGGGTGGGTTCACACAATAAGTTTAACCGTAACCCTGGGTTAGAGTTAAGAAAACACAGCTGTAGTGTTCAGATACTATGTTAAGCCCAAACAAATACATCATATTACGGCTTACCCTGGAGCAGCATGGTGGAGAGAAGCTTTCTCTGTTGAATTTTCTTCCCTGTGCAACTAGTGAAAGCATAGAAGAGGCCTGATGTAAAGATAGATGGAGTCATGGATCTAAGTTTCCCCTTCTCCCTTTCCTTTCCAGGCAGAGGAGGAGCAGCTGGAATACCCACCATGGGCCTTGGGCCTTCTCATTACCCTGATTGTCGTGGCTGCTCTACCCATTCCAGGCATGTTTCTTAGACAACTCTGGATGGAACGGTTTGCCCAGCACAGCCACATGTCTGGCCAGATGCCTGTACCCACTGAAGAGGAAGACGGGGTAGAAGAAAAAGAGAGTCCGGCTGATCTCGATCACCCAGGCAATGGCTACTTGCTTGTGCCAGCAGAAGAGGGGCAGGAATAGAATGGACCCAGCGTTGCGATGTGCAATGTATAGAATGTGCAATTCTCCACCTCCTGGATATCTCTGATTGCTGCTGTATTTCCAGCCTTTGATAGCCTTAATAAGCAAAGCATTTTTTATTTTTATTTCTGCTCTCCCGGTCCTGCTTGTAGAACAAGAAGAAGGCTACTTGGGTTTAAAAAAAGAGACCCGTTAGCCAAGTACAAGGCTTCTGGAGCTAAACTATCATGACTCTTCCCAAGGAAGCTACAAGCCTTTGGGTTTTCCACACTCTTGGAGTTCTGCACATCCATACCTGTTCCACCCATAATAGTGGAGTGGAACCTGAATGGCCATTGGTAGGGAGGGAATTCTGAGCAATGCATTTAAAAACCAAGTATTTAATGTTAAGTGCTTATTCGTTAAAGCCTGATTGCCCATTCCTAAGGTTTGAATGTATATGATCACAGTGTACAGTATATTTTTTAATATTAAGATGGCAGTGATGGGGGGAAAATAGTTTAAAATTGACATTATACTGCTCAAATGTTCTCATTTAAGCAGTGTCTTTCGCCAGTGCTGATCTTATTTTTAAACGACATAGGAAAAGTAGGAGAGCACCATTTCCAGAATTCTTCTTTTAGCCCTTAATAATAGTTCTACTGTGGGTCATGTGACTAAGAGGAAGTGGGGCTTAGAACAGATCAGTGGGCAGCATTCCAAACCACTGAACAACTACCTCTCCCATAGAGATAAATGGGGGGATTTTTCTGAGTTTTTTTTTTTATTCCTGGCCTCATCCAAGCTCATTTTCAAATTTGACCTTTCTTTTACAAGCTTCTTCCCCCAAACCAAGTTTTGGTCCCATTCTGCAGATGGACAGGCAGACAAAGTCCCGAGTCCCTTTGCATAATTTCTTTGCAACATTCCATTGGGTTGGAAAGAACAAAAAAATATGGTGGAAACATGATGGGGGCTAATTTAAACATTGGTTTTAAAAATTAACAGGGCACTAAACAGTTGTAGCTTTAAATATTATAGATGATTGAGCTGGGATAAATTAACCAGCCCCATGTATCAGGGACGGTGTCTCATTTTCAAAAATGCGAAAGAAGACAGTAGATAAGGACTTCCATGAAGGTGAAGACTGCACTATTATTCCATTCTTTTAAAACTGCACTTCATGTGACAACGAGAAAGGACAGAAAAGACACTTGGAAACACAGCCACAACTACCAGAGGGATGATTTGTCATATGAGCCCCCTTCTCCAATAAATGTGAATGAACGACATACAACGATTCCACATCATCTTGGAAGCACACATGACTTGTGCTGGAGGACATGAAAAGACAGATGGAATGATAAAGGACCTGTACATAATACAAATACATTTAAGTGGACTCTTTCACTTTGGTGAACTATCTTATGACTTGAACAGCTATCAAGGAACCTTATTCTTTTTTCCAAGAGGGCATCTTTAAAATTATAGAATGGGGAAAGCATGACTGGAGAACTAGTTACTGGATTTCAGGGCACTATGTTTTGCAAAGAGAATGAATGAAATCTAGGAAGGTGTGATGCCCAGGGCATTTGACTCTGCTAAAGCATCTGTGTCTTGCACTGGAACGTGTTCCTCCCTATTCCCCAAAGTCCATTTTAGACTGTAAGCAGCTCCTTAAGATCAGGGACCTACTCAATGACATCTGATGGCACCATATTTTTTCTTGTTTCTTTCATCTAAAGATTGAATTGTTACATGGGTGACTGGCAGGAACACCTTACTCTGGAGGATCTCAGGCTGCGGGTAGGGACCTCCTAGGAGGCTCATCACAAATATTTTAAAAATTTTAGAAAAGCAAAGCTGTCAAAACACATTGTGGGTTTTGCTCCGTGTTTCACCTCTGTAAACACGGTACTGCAAGTTAAGAACTCCAGTGATACGTAGACTAAAATTCAGTTACAGGTAGTAACTGAAGTCTTCACTTAACGACCGTTCGTTTAACAACAGTTAAAGTTATGACGGCCTTGGGAAAGTGATTTAAGACCTGTACTCGCACTTATGACAGTTGTAAACCATTGCAACCCCCACAGTAATGTGATCACGATTTGCAATCTTTTTTACAATGATTATTAAGCGAATCAGCATGTCATTAAAAAAATCACACGGTTGTTAAGCAAATCACATAGCTGGATTCACTTAATGACCATCGTAAAAATGGTCATAAAATAGTCCAGTCCAGTCACATGGCGATTCGCTTAACAACTGCCCTGCTTAATTACCAATTTTCCAGACCCTATTGTGGTCATTAAGTGAGGACTACCTGTACTAGAAGTGGTATGTTTATTCCTTCCCCAACCCTAGGATCAATGGGGGGGGAGATGTCACAGTACTAACAAGAATGAGAACTATTGCCTTAACTGCTTCAGTGGGAAATAAAGGGGAGGATGGACTTTTCCAGTACTTTGTCAGACATTATAGCTCAAAGAGCCAAAAACTTTGAAGAAGTAGTCAATAGACTGCTTGTTTTTATAATATTCTCTATGGGGAATTACTGGACTTTTTCAATAGTTCAATAAATGAACTGTATGTTAGAGTTTAAATTTTGTTTTGGGGACTTACCTAGTGCAGGGCAGAACAAAGCAAGTAATTAAAACTCCACTGTTCTGGTGATGGGTTTCACTTTCATATGAGGGAACAGAACCTGAGGTCTACAAATGAGCCTTAAACAAGAGAACAAACATCTAATTGTTTCCCCCTTTCTCTTCAATAAAAGCTGTTTAGCACAAACAAACCAGTTGCATTGTATTAAATTCTGGGGTGGGGAAATGTATCTGATTTCTATCTTGCTTGATTTAAACTTCTTTATCATATATTAAAGAATATTAGTGGCAATTAAGATAAATTGTCAAGCTCAAATCAGGGCAGTTTTCCTTGCTCAGATTAGAGCATTTAATATCTATCTATCCCAATTTATTTGATTTTGATTGGGCGACTTAAGGTCATCTCAGTCACTCTTAGTGCTATAGCTAGGGCTGTACAAAAACTAAAAAGTTTCAAAATGTGAAATATGTTTCAAGGATTTTGGAATTCTTTCACCAATTCCCCATTCAATATCAGATGTTTCATGAAAGGTTGCAGCTCAAATGATTCAAAATAAAATATTTTCCCTAGTTGTGTACATGATTTGAGGTCCATGTAGCTAAAATTAGATATCTTGGGGAATATTTCAAAATGGGCAGAATAAAATGATGAAGCCTTACATGAGCTGATTTGACTGCATTTTCTGCTGATTTTTTATCTGATTTTAAAGGGACCAGGTTCCTATTCCAATTGTGTAAAATCATGATAGGGCATGCACAGAGGAAGAACAAAAATATTTGATTTAATGTAACTGAAATTAAAATATACTTGATAGGTCTCCATATTTAATAACTCTTACTATCAGATTTGCTATTAAGAATCATTTACAGTCCTAGAACTTTAGGTTGTATACCTTTGATACACAGGATACCCTAGTAAAGGTAACAAAATATTCAACTTTAGGGCACCTAAAACTGAAAAAAAAGGAATCTTTTTTTGATCCAGTGGTTTATTAAGCTAAAGGAAATAACTTTGAGTATCCATTCCTCCTCCTGGAGAATACGTGGTCACTATGAGTTGACACCGACTTGATGGCACTTAATCAAATCTATTCCTTCCAAATACTAGTTAAGCCTTATCGTTTTGGCTGTCGTTGCCTTTTATTACAAGTTAAAAGAATAAAATCTCTAAGTCGAGCTCAACTCACATGTACAGTTTCATTGGCAACAATATGGGCACAGTTTGCTATTACTCCATTTCAAATTATATCCAGCTTTTCTCTTTGACTAAGGGATTTTTCCATGCCCTCCCCTCTTTTTGCTTAATGAAGAATTCTTAAAACTCAACAGTTCACACGACACATTAAACTACCCGGACTATCCCACCATATTTTGACGGGGTGTACAGTATTGCGCGAACTCAGTCCCACGTGATTAGCTTTTAGTGATTTCAGCGCGAGCTTGCACGTTTAGGCAGAAGCAAATCCCACATTTTTTTAATCGAAGGTAACGTTGCTGCCCCCTACAGGCGACGCCGGGAACCAAAGTCTTCGACCTGGGCGGGGCCTCCTCGCCGCCGCCGCATCACACGATCGCCTGTTTTCGCCCCTTCCGTACAAGACAGACGGTGCCGCTGTCACGTGATCCACAAAGCCGGGGAATTATGCCCTTACAGCACATGCATTTACTACGAAACAGTTTTGCGCATGAGCCGACGGAAGTTGCGCGATCGCATCCCCCCCCCCGCTCTTCAAACCGGCAACCAGACAAGAGGATGTCATCGCTTTAGCCCGCCCACCGCTCGGGTGCCGCTACATCGTCACGTGACCGGCAATGACCCTCTCCCATTCTCCGCGCTGCTTCACCCTCTCCCTTTTTTCCGCCTGTCCCCTGCCGGCCGCTGGATCACGTGACTCTATAAAGCGGGTTGCCGCCTCGGGTCGGGCACAGCTGAGTAGAGTGGAGCGATGGCGGCGGCAGCGGCGGGGCCCCGGGGAGAGCAGGAGCTCCCGCCTCGCAAGGAGGGTGAGCGTGCCGGGGCTCGGGGAGCGGGGCAGGCGGGGCGCGGTAGCCCGGCGAGCCCGTCGGTGGCTGATCGCAAGGCACGCGCGAGCTGCCTCTCCGAAGATGAGGGCATGCCCGGGCATGAGGATTTCCATGGCTCCCCTCGCCCTTTAGTCTGGGCGGCTGGAGGCTGCTTGCCTAGCGCCTTCCTGATGAGACCGACCCCGACAGTCGCCGTCCCCACCCAGCGAGTCCATTGCCTCTGCTGGCTGAGAGCGGTAGCCTCGCCTCTAGAGGAGCAGCGGGCTGTGGAAGGGCAGGGCCGTGTGCTTGTTTTGTTTTTCCGCTGAGTCCGTGCGACAACCCTGCCAGGTAGGTTGGAGTGACTGGCGGGCAACAGCCTTCGCTGCCCTTTGGCTTCTGCCGCCCCCTCCTCGATTAAACTGGGATGTTTTTCATTTATCCTGGCACGGAGGCTTTATTATTGAAATGATGCGTTGCCTCAGGGTGACTGGATCAGCAAGGATTTTAAAATGACAATAGGGTAACCTCCCCTGGCAGAATAGTTTTATTTAGTGCTCAAAAGATGCTGGGCAGGACTCCTGTGAGAGCGGAGTCAGGATAATTTAGATTTCTAAAACCACCCGACTCAACAGCAACTCTGGGTTTCATTCAGATTAAAAACGAAATCACAGTACATCAACCCCCCCCCCGGATGATATTGATGTAGAAGAAGAAACGGGGATAGATGTATACCATGAACAAACCTGACATAGCAATCCAGGCATACGTGGACCCCAAGCTATTCCAGGACTGGGAAAGCCCCCGGTCTTCAGTGCGGTCTGCAGTGCCCGTTTCAGAGAGCAGGGTTGGAGGTGTTCAAACCTCTGGGTGGGAACGGGTGATGCCCTGGCAGAAGGCAGATGTCGCGACAGAGTTGAAA